CACACACACACACACACACACACACACACACACACACACACACACACACACACACACACACACAAGCACACACTTCCTTGCCATCCTCCTCCTCCTACACACACACACACTTCCTTCCCATCATCGTCGTCCTCCTCCTCCTCGTCAACGCCGCTGTCCTTTTCTTTCTCCCTGTCCTCCTCCCCGTCGGTCTACTCCGCCATCCTTTCTCATCACCGTCGTTCTCCTCCTCCTCCTCCTTGATCGTGTCAACTCCGCCCTTTTTTACTGCCGTTGTCGTCATCGTTGTCGTCCTCCTCCTCCTCCTCCTCGTGTTGACTCTGCCCTGCTTTCCCATCGTCGTCATCGTACTCCTCCTCCTCCTCCTCGTCAACTGCGCCCTATTCGTCACCGTCCTCCTCCTCGTCAACTGCGCGCTACTCGTCGCCGTCCTCGTCCTCTTCAACTCTTCCCTCCTTTCTCTCCCTCTCCTCCTCCTCCTCCCCTCTTTGTCTTCCTCCTCCTCGTCTCCTCCCCCTCCTCCTCCTCCTCCTCCTTCTCCTTTTTGGTTTATTTATTTTTTATTTGGTCCATTTCCCGATTAATGCATGTCATCTTGGCGCAGGGCCATGCTAATCTTTCCCTTGGGACATTCGTTGAATTGGAAGGAGAAGATTAGCATGGCCCCTGCACACGGATGACACGCGTTAAATCGGGAAACGGTCCCAAAAAAGGAAGAGGAGGACGAGGAGGATGAGAAAGAAAATGAGCCCCGAGTTAGAAGGAGGTGGTGTTCATGACGAGGAGTAGAAGGAAGAGTAGAGGCAGGTTTTTTTTTTTTTTTTTCGGGACAATACAGGGGATCCGGACCAGAATCCAGACCACGGATCTGGACCGGTCCGGATATTCCGGAATATTCCGGTTTTCTGGAAGTCTGGATGGGCCCCGGAGGCCCGGGGTCCAGGGTCCGGAATCGGTCCAGGGTCTGGTCCGGGATAGCTATGTTTTTTTCCTCAGTTCGTCTGAATTACCTCAAGAATCAACAGCGAGAGAGAAAGTATGCGGCACCAGATTTGAGTCCACAGTATAAAAACCTTCCTGACTTGACTTGCCGGTGGAATAGGAACCGGACTGATGCTCCCCAGAATGGATTTGGAGCCAGGGCCATAAAGACCTGTTTTATTATTATTTAAAAATTAAAAAAAACTTCCTGACAGACTTGCAACAAACAAACCCTCTGCCAAAAAAAAAAAAAGAGAATCAACAGGAAGAGAGAACAGCTGTCTACTGCTGCCACAGCTGTTCTCTCTTCCTGTTGATTCTTCTTTTTTTTTTTTTTTTTTTCAACTGTGCAAGGAAAATGAGTGAGAGCGATAGGCAGAAAACCAAATTGCAATATCACGCTGTAGACCAGATAGTCGTGTACCAAGCAGAAAGAAAAGATACCAGCCAAATAAGAGCAATACAATGAACTCAAATGTCAATGTCGACACTCTCTTGCCACACCAACATAGTATCCAATGTCGTAGATTGGTGCACAGCGCCCAGCCTACGCTACCCTACTCTACATATACGCAACAGGACTCGCTTCGATCTGAAGACCAATGTAAGTGGGGATGTCACTCATGCAGACTGCCAGCATACACCAGGCACGTGCCTCTCTCCCCTCTCTGACTCACCACCTCCTCTCCCACATGTGCGCCTCCAACCCGAAGACCACCATCGCCCACCGGCCTCCTCACAAGCAGCCCGGCTATGGCCGCTGTGTGCCCGCTGTCACCACAGCGCCCCTCTCACCTCCAGCGCCCGTGTGCGCCTGGCCCGCTCACGTCCAGGCAGCCCACCAGCGCACAATGCAGCAGCATGGCCACCCAGACTTGCGAAGCCAGAATGTCCCTCTGGCAGGGCGCACACTTTCCTTTAAGGAAAGTGAGCCCAGCCTTTGGCTGGCCTGGGCCTGGCGTGTGTGTGCCCAGTAGCTTCACGTTGGGCCAAAGTGTTTGCGCCCAGGCCCATTTCAGACAGTTGGCCGGTCCCACAGCATTAGAGGCAGCCCAACTGTATGACGTGGCTGCTGTCACTTGCTGTGTTCTCATTGGCTGTTTGGCCTTCAGCCACGTTGCTGCCTGTCTCCTATTGGCCGAGAGCTTCTGGCCACGTTGCTCCTGAAGTGATCCCAGAGGCTCAGATTGTTCTGCTCACACAGACGCTGTTCTGTGACCAATTTGTGCTTGGTAACTGTCTGGCGCCCCTCAATGCAGAAATGGCAAATTTGGGGCCCTATGTCGAATTCAGGCCCGCCTTCACTAGGGTGTGCTCCGTGCTTACTGGGGGACCCTCGGGTAGTGGCAGGCGGAGACCGAGCAGCCTTTGCGAGGGCTCATTCCTCGCGGTTGGCTTTTTCGTAAACGGATTGTTGGTGCTTTTCTAATTCCAACTAAACTTTTAGCAAACGTTTCCATTTCTCCGTTCGTGTGCATCATTCTTTTTCCTTTTTTTTTCTTTTCAGTCCAGAACTCATGCAGTGGCCATGCTAATCTCCTCTGTATTGTTCGAAATTTGACGGATGCCTCGGACGACACTTCCTGTTGATTCTTTTTTTTTTTTACTTCCTTATCACAAGCGAAAGAGAGAATGGTGGCAGCAGCAGATGTGAGAGTACAGCAGACGTGAGGCCAGCACACTTTGCGAAACAAATGCAGAAAAGAATGAAGCACATTGAAACCATTCTTTTCGCTTTCCCTGTGCAGTTCTTTCTTTTCGCTTCTTTCACAGTCCATCATTTTTCCCTTGTTCTCTTTGTACCTTTTCTTTCAGCTCGCTTGCCTTCGCTGAATGTTCTGTGTTGTTCTTACCAATTGAGAGAGAGCTTAAACCATAATTCTTTTTCAATACCTGACCCATGTGACACACGTAAACAGTTAGCAAACAGGTCATGTGTCCGAATCCTCATGAGACCAAATGAATGTGATAACGTTAGGGGCTATCCCATTTGCAAAAGGGATGCACGTCGCACACACACACACACACACACACACACACCAAAAAAAAAAAAAAAAAAAAAATCCTTCTCAATGGTTGTCAGCCTTACCAGGAAGGAAAATGGACACCAGAAGCAGAAGCCAGAGTGTCGAAGTCAAGCGACCTCGTCTGTCCTTCACCCTCTCCATGACCTCACCATATTTTTCACTGGCGAATGCCTGAGGAGTGTCGCCACAGCATCCTCTGCTCTTCCTCCTTTCCATGATTCCAGCTCCTTTTCGCTGCCAGGTACCTGAGAAGAAACACCGGTAGCAATCAGCACCATTCACCCACCAATTTTTCCTTGCCTCCCCATCCTTACCTTCCTCGTGCCATTCTAACCCGGCATCATCTGTTCGCATCATCATTGCCTTTCAGAATTCACATCACGTGCCCGCGTTCCTCGGAGCTCGCAGCCCATTTGTCCGCACACACCGCCATGCGGACGTGTACAGAAATCTCACCCTCACAACCGGTTACTGAGGGAGTTCCAGTGCTGGGCCACCTGGCATGCTAATTCCTGCCCCACCTACCGTCTTCCCCCGAACACAACGCACCCGTATTTTGGCTGTACGTGACCAGAAATATAGCTTGGATACATTCATTATCAGGGTGCGTAGCAGCGTACTTTTTTCCTGCCACCTGCCACAGTACTTGTCTACCACCTGCCAGAGTACTTCGTTTTTTTTCCTTATTTCTTTTTTGAAATCAGGTCCTTACGATCCAGGCTCCTTGTCCTTTTTCTTTTTCTTTTTTTTTTTTTTTTTGGGCCTTGTCCATTCTAGGGACCATCAGTGCATTTTTCTTTTTTTTTTAATAAATTAAGGGCCCTCAGCAAGCCCTGTGCCCGCCCTAAGTGAAGGCGGGCCTGAATATTCACAAGAGGCCAAAATTTGACATTTTCCCATATGTGGGTACTCAGGTAGTTACAGCACGCCAGTCGGTTGCAAGGAAACGTGAGCCTCTCGGCTCTTTTCTGAAGATGTGTGCTGCGCCGTACAGTTGGGCCTCATGCACACACATTACAAGGCAGATACATCACGCACTGGCCACCGGCCTACGAGAAAGCAGCATTGTCGATGTAACTGCCCCAGGGGCCAGTTTAAGTGCAGCAAATGGCCGAAGTCTGAAGATCCTGGGCATGCCCAACTGTAAAGGGCTCAGGCCCTCAACTGTAGAGAAAGGCCTGGGCGCAGGCACTGGGGCCCGACCGGAAGGTACTGGAAGCTTCTCAGCCAGGCCCACACGCAGCAAGCAGGGCTGCCACTTCCATATAGGAAGGGACGCAGCCGGGGTCTGGCATTCTGGCCCAAGCTGGCATTGCGGTCACGCTGCTGCGCTGCTGTGCAAGTGGCTGCATGCTGCGCTAATTGGCCGGGGGCGCACACGGGCGCTGGAGGTGAGGGCGCTGCAGGGGCAGCGGGGCGCTAGCGGCCATAGCCGGGCTGCAGGGTGCGGGCAGGTAGGGGGCGACAGGAGAGGTCTTCGGGAGGAGGCGCAGGGAGAGAGTGGGTGTCAGGGGGTGATGAGGGGAGACAAGATACATACCTGGTGCATGAGGGAGGTCGGCTATGGTGTTGACGTCATGTACATTGGTCTTCAAAGTCGAAGTGAGCCCGTTGCGTGAATGTGGCTGTAGTAGATAGGCAAGTAGTGTAGGCTGGGCGCTGGGCGCCAGACAGAGAGGAGCGACATTGAATACTGTGTTGGTGTGGCCTGAGGGCTTGAACATTGGCTCACGAGTTCATTGCATTGCTCTTATTTGGATGGAATCTCAGTGCATTTGTGCTCTCTGCTTGTACATGACTATCTGGACATCTGCGTGATTATGCAACTTGGTTTTCTGTATATCGCTCTCACTCATATTCCTTGCAGCTATATTCTTCTCTCAAGTATCCCTTACACTACATCTACCTACTGTGTTCACCCAGAGGTCATTACAGCTGTATTTGGGGCAACTTTAAGTCTAAATACAGCCATAACGAACGCACATTGTATTCGGGTGAACACAGTAGCCAGGGCTACATCTACCAAGCAGGGGCAACCAAAGTCTACCAGCCACATGAACTAACCCCCCAGGAAGGACTCGCAGAGGGGCAAACGCCTCCAATCCACCGGCAAGTCCGAAATTAGAGTACAGAGATTGACTCACGTCACGCTTCCCTCTGTCCTGCTCGAACGACCCCTGATCAGCGTTGATTGCTCCAACGACTGGAGGATTGACATTCCAAAAGGGATGCCTCTCAGTCTCGACCCAGTCAGGTCTGTTTAGATCAGAGGAATCCCTCTTTTTTTTCTCTTTTTTTCCAAGCCCACCCCTCTGTCCTGCCTTAGTGTGGACCACCCAGGACCGTCACGCATCACCAACTCGGCTAGGTGACCCGACCACAAGCGGTTGGAGGCACCTGGGCTGAATCCCTCTTTTGCCAAGGGTCTGTTTTTGACATTGCTTGTTCAAGACATGCGAATTCATTAATACTGAAGAGAGGGAGGACTGGTCTGACCAGGATTTCCTCACAGTACTTTTCTACCAGGGTAAGTCCGGAAGAATGAGGACGATATTTGAATATCATGTTAAATCCAGTTACGACTTGGGTTTACAGACCACAAACCCGGACACCACACTACAAGGGAAATGGAGGGAGATCCTAAACTGGATTTGCGCTGTGCCATTTCTTCCAAATCAATCTGTCATCTGCCACAGTTGCAATCTTTCCCTGTAGAAGCCAGTTCCTAACGAAAGACCGTCTCTTGATGGCTAGTCTTTCTGGTCTGACTTTTATTGTTGACGTCACCTCCCTCCATCTGGATCGAATCTCAGTTTCCGTCATTCCCAGCAGTAGAACCCACACTTCTTCCCTTGCCACCTCGGTACCCTCGATAGTCTTGGTACACCTCGTTTTCCAGATACCCATAGAGCCCGCTTCCTGAGCAGGTGGAACCGGACTTCTTTGCCACCTTTGAGATTGTTGGTATTGTTGGATAGAAGCAGGATGTTCAGAGGAGTTGTGGACGGAGGGGGTGACGAGAAGAGGATGGACCATAGGTCGTGCACCTTGTTCCATATCCATGCTGCTTCAGTGCAATACAGGAGGCAGTGGAGTACATCTTCCGGGATGTTGTCTGTGCACAACCCGCATAATTCGGAGCTGTCAGGGTCCGTATATTTCCTCCTCTTGTGGAGCCATTGATTGACCGACAGAAATGCATGCGCTACGAGCCACTGCATGCTACGGATCCTAACCGGTCTAATGGACAGGTACTTTGTCCAAGGGATGGAAATGGGGTCCGTGGGGCCTAGATTTAGGATCTCCCTCCATTTTCCTTTGAGTCTGGTGTCCGGGTCTGTGGTCTGTAAACCCAAGTCGTAACAGAATGTAATATCATATTCAAATATTGTCCTCGTTCTTCTGGGCTTACCCTGCCTCCTGAACCACTCTTTCGGGTCGAATTCGAGGTCTGAAATGCTGAGATCCAGTTGGAAGATTTTCCAGGGCTTGGCCTTTGAGACCCTCACGTTTCTAGTATGTAGGAAGGTTTCTAGTATGTCGTCGCTCTGGGGTTCTTTGTTCCGGATTTCCAGCTCTTATAGGTTGTGATTAGCGATGGAGTATGAGTAGAATTTGAATAAGTAGCTGAGTGGGTCGATTCGAGAGACAAAACGATATGCTCTAGTAGGCTGGGCTTGGGAGATGTGTATGCCCCAATCCCCAGACTTCAACGAAAAATCCTCCGTTAAGAGGGAGAGCCACTGTATTGGAATGCTCTTCTGAATCAACGTCAGGTTTTCAGTAAGAGAGTGGCATCCTTTCAAAACATTTTGGAGCTCCTGTTCTGTAGACCATCGTCCTCGCTCTTCAGACCAGATGTGTTTCACCTGCCACACCCCCTTTTCCACCCAGGATAGCCATCTCCGGTCCTTTGTGGGTAGTGTCCACGACATTCTGCTAGGGTCTATGATCCAGGGGTTGCAGAAGAGGGGTTGTCTCAGAACCTCTTCTTTGTTTCTTGGTGCACCGTGTTTGCTTGGCATCATTCTGCGTCAGGCTTTGATAGTAGGGCCCCAGTATGAGATAGCTGTTTGCGTGGGGGTTGTGGTAGTCTCTGTTGGGTTTCTTCTGCGAGGTCTGCCTGATTTGATTGTCCAGTCCTGCGCCATTAACCAGAAGAGGTCTCTCATATTCGGGGGGGAAGTTGATAGGTGTCAGGTTTCTTATGTTGTCTAGAGCCATCTGGGTCCATGGAATGAATTGACTAATCCGGATCTTGATAATCCATTTCATCTGCAGTGCTCTGGGGTCAATTAGCCCAAGTCCCCCCTCCTGTGGTTTCCTAATAATGTGGTTCCAGGCTACCCTGTTGATACATGTGGTCCTATTAGGATCTCATGTCCATAGATAACATCTCGCCCTGTTCTTTAACGTCTTGAGGTCGTCGTCAGGGGGAGACCAGATGGATGCCATGTACCACAGTGTGGAGAAGATTGCCGTGTTAATTAGAAGGGTTCGTCCGATTAGTGAGGCCTAAGCGTTTTTGCATGGGGCGGCCAAGCGGGTGATTGCCCTGGCAACTAGGTTCTGACCCATTCCTGGCCATACCCTGTCCTTGTTACCCGTAATACCAAGGAAGCGTAGTGCTTGATCTCCCATCGTCCATGCTAAATTGGGCCATCCATAGCTGTGCTAGATTGGGCCATCCCTAGCTGTCCCCGATTGGACCATCCACAGCTGTGCTAGTTTGGACCATCCAGAGCAGTGCTAGACTGGACCATACCTACGCTAGATTTGACCATAGCTATGGTAGATCGGACCACAGCGACATTAGATTAACTACGCTACATTGGACCATCCATAGTTGTGCTAGATTGGGCCATCCATAGCTATGCTAGATTGGACCATAGCTACGCTGGATTGGACCATAACTATGCTAGACTGGACCATCCATAGCTGTGCTAGATAGGGCCATCCATAGCTATGCTAGATTGGACCATCCAGAGCTGTGATAGATTACACGATGAAACTACGGCATCGCGCGTCCACGCCAGCCTAGCACAACTACGCTCCCGAGGAGATCCTGACCTATCCTGCGCAGATCTTACTTTGTCTTATGCAGATTACCAGACGAATGATCTGTACCATACCGCTGAACAGGTCCTCGTACTTCTTTCGCACCGGTCTACCACCTTCCCCCAAACGGAACGAGCGGTCATTGGGCCTCCCACCACTACTCTCATGAAATATGCAAAACGAGAGTCAAACCAACGGGCATAGACCACTTGGTACACCCATGGACTGGTGAAATACAGATCCAAGTTCGAATCCAGATGCAATAATATGACAGAATGAGATATCTATAAACTACCTGGGGCCAGTTAGTTCAATGAGGATATCTCAAGAGCATCACCCTTAAATTAACCAAACAAAAAAAAAAAAAAAAAAAACAAAAAAAAAAAAAAAAAAACAAAAAACAAGAGTGAAGCTAGAACATGGAAAGATAATCCCAAAAAAAAAAAAAAAAAAAAAAAAAAAAAAAAGAACATGGAAAGATACACCCCGATATCATTTTGTCTCTTGTGCATGTCGAGAGTAGTGGAGCGAGGCCCATGGCAGCCGTATTTGTTTGGGGCATCTTTCGCTCTGGATACAGCGATAACGACCGTGCGTTCTATTTGGGGAGAACATGGTAGCCTTTCGGAGTTTCGAACTTTAGAGAGGGGGGTCTATTTCCGGCCTTTTGCCATAAAAAAAACAACAAAAACCGCATCTCAAGGGGAAAAAATAAATAAAGAACGCATCTCAGAGGGGGGGGAAGGAAAGAACCCATCCATCTCATACACCACACTTTCGTCCATACTCCTCACAAACCATTGGCGACTTTCAGCAGAGTTCACATAGCATTGGTTCTGTCTCTTATACACATCTAGATGTGTATAAGAGACAGGTTCACATAGCATTGGTTCAAATTTCAAATCAGTCCCTTCATTGGCGACTTTCAGCACAGTTCACATAGCATTGGTTCAAATTTCAAATCAGTCCCTTCATTGGCGACTTTCAGCAGAGTTCACATAGCATTGGTTCAAATTTCAAATCAGTCCCTTGTTGTTGTTCAATGCTGCTGATCGACCTTCCACGATCTTTTATATTTTTTTTGTCGGATGCTGGGAGGAAATCGCACCCAAGCCCCAAGTCCTTCGGGATACCGTTAACACTGCACCAACGCACCAATGGGCCTAGCTCAGTTGGTACACCCATGAACTGTTGAAATGCAAGCCCGAGTTCGAACCCAGATGCCACCAGATGCCACCAGATGCCCAGAAGAAAAAAAAATCATTCTGAATTACCTGGGGCCTGTCAGTTCAACGATGATATCTCAAAGCCGTAGCCCTTTTTCAGAGAGAGAGGAAAGAAGAGAAGACGAAGGAAAGGAGGAGGGGGAGGAGGAGGAGGGGGGGGAGGGAGGGGAGAAATGGAGCGATAGAGAGAAGATGTAGCATGGCCCCTGCTCCCCCCTAGGTAGCATTAATCCTGCCTTCCGTTTATTCGGGAGCAATCATTGCTTCCCACACCCTTTCATTCGTGCACTTGGTCCCAGGCCCAACTGGTGCTATATTCATGCTATGAAAGCACGAACATGGCCTCTATCACAGTCATGTTCATGATTTGCAAATCTGAAGATAGCGAACTAGTGGCGCCTGGCCCTTGTTGTAATACTATAAATAGTGAGACGGCGGACCCCATTTCCACCACGTCCAGCTGCAGCTCCTCACCAATAGTGGAGCTATCCCAGCAAGGGGGACCCATACGTCGATGACGCCCTTGTCATTACCCGAGAACAGCCCCTTTCCGAATGAATGTTAACTTTTTTTTTCTTTTTTTTTTTCAACCGGTCCCTTCAATAACCATACACCCCCTTGAAAGATTCTCCTTCTTCTTCTTCTTCCTCTTCTTCTTCTTCTTCTTCTTCTTCTTCTTCTTCTTCTTTTCAGCATAGCTATGTCGGTGCAGTTATGACCTGAAATGTGACTTGATGCATGGACTGGTGGCTACTCGCCTCGCTTTCTCTTTTTTTTTTCCCCTTTCCATTCCGGTTGTTATCTCCCGGCAAGCAAAGGTGGTAGCAAGCCCGTCCTGCTTCCCTCTCTTTCGCATACTCCCCAGTGGCCTCCCTCTGCTACCGGCCAGGGGACAGCCGGTAGCAGAGGGACCGAGCATCATCTGAGTGGCCAGTCGCTGTGCCTCCCCGATTACCCCTCCCTCCCCCTATGAACATCAGCAGGGAGACTCCCCATGGTTCCCAGCCGCCGAGGAAGCCCCTGTCCTACCTTCCACCAAAAACAAAAAACTCTTCTTCTTCTTCTTCTTCTTCCTCTTCTTCTTCTTCTTCTTCTTCTTCTTCTTCTTCTCCTTCATTATCCATCATCACCATGGTGCCTACATGCATACGCAGAACTTCCATGCTCTTCACTACCGTGTCGCTTTTCGATCACCGAGATCAGAATCTCAATCTCTCTCTCTCTCTCTCTCTCTCTCTCTCTCTCTCTCTCTCTCTCTCTCTCTCTCTCTCTCTCTCTCTCTCTCTCTCTCTCTCTCTCTCTCTCGCTCGCTCGTGTCCATCTATTTCTGCCTCTACCGATCTATCGTTTGGTGCATAAAGGTTCCCCATCATAGTCTTCCAGTTTACCACCAGACACACTCATACTCGAATATCTTCTCATCCCCCTCCTTGTCCTACTCGTTGATCACCCAACTTTAAACCCTCGTGTCGCCATATCCACCTCAACATGACATCGTATAATCCCCCTCCTCCTCCTTCTCCTCTTCATCATCATCATCATCATCATCATCATCGTCCTCCTCCTCCTCCTCATCCTCCTCCGCATCCTCCTCCTCATCAGTCTCCTCCTGTTGAATATCGATGGCATAGAGATAATCTGCCGTTAGGCGTTTCCTTTCTTGTGCCATCTTGCGCCACGTTTGCAGCAATTCTTAGGGTTGGGGGGGTGAAAAGGGGATCTGCTGCCACGTGTTTCATAACCCTCCTGCCACGTGTCCTGCTGCCTCGTGCCCTGCTGCCATGTGTACTGCTGCCATGTGTACTGCTGCCACGTGTCCTGGTACAACGTCTTTATAATTCTGCTGCCACGTGTTTCATGGCCCTGCTGTCACGTGTTTCATAATCATAGATCATCTCTGTATGTAAGCAACCGTCATCCAAGGACAATTACCTATCACTGGGAAAAGGCGTTTCCTTTCCCGCCATTTACGAGTAAGAAAGAAAAAAGGCTATCTTTCTGACTCCGAAATGGCGGGAAATCTGTCTCTCAGACTGGGACATTCCGTGTAAGGGGAAAAAAATGGCCATGATCATTTTGGCCACGTCATGCGAGCCATTTTGCCAGCCAGAATCTCGTGATATTTTTTCCCGCATCGTACCGCCTACCCTTCACCCCAATGATCCTGACTGCAACATTTCCTCTCCTCCTCCTCCTCCTCCTCCTCCTCCTCCTCCTCCTCCTCCTCCTCTCGTCCTCCTCTTCATCCCCTGCCTCCCCTTCCTCATCATCATAATCATCACCATCCCCCCCCTCCTCTTCACCCTCCTCTTCATATTCCCTACTATTCCATTATCCCACACTGCCCTCCTCCCTCGCTCCTCAACGCCATACCACGTAGTAACGGCCCCGCCACGTCATAACATCTGTTGAATCCAAGATCACCACCCTCCTGCTCCTCCTCCATCTCCCTTCC